ATTAACTCCCCATTCTGCACATCAATCATCGCCCTCGCAGTTGCTAAAAAGGGTCTGCCTAAGATAATGTGTATTATTATTATCCACCTCCATATCTGCAGGGAAGATAAACTTATCCACCTTAACTAGAATATCCTTCATAACCCCCCCAGGAAAGGTAAGTGTTTGGTCAGCAAGTTGTAGGGTTACAATTGTAGGTTGAACTTCTCTTAATCAACCTCTTGAAGTTCGACACAAACATATGGTTGATGCTAACACCTAAGTCATATAAAACCTTCCCAAAGAATTTCTCTTCTATTGCATAGGAAATGGTGGTAACTCCCAGGGTTTCTAAGTTCCTGACGGAACTTTTTCTGTATTGTAGCTCTGCACTCATTCCTTGTGCTACATTCTTAAAATTTTCTAGCTTCCTCTTCTTATTCAATATATCCTTCATAAACTTCACATAGTCAGACATCTGTTCCAAAGCTTCAACAAAAGAGATGTTGATAATTAACTTCTTAAATAATTCCGAAAATTGAGAAAATTGTTTTCCAATTTGTGTTTTTGAAGTCTCTGTGGAAATGGTGGGGGTGGTTGTTCTAAGTCGTTCTTAAGAGGTGAGGTAGGTTTACCTAAGTTTTTAGAAGAGTTTTCTATAGATCTTTCATGCTCAGGATTCTCTTTCACTACCTCAGGTTCTTTCGTAGTTACTTCCTCCAATTCATTTCCACTTCTCAATTTAATGTTTTTCACATGTTCGTTACTCTTGTCCTTAGGGTTAACTTCAATGTTAATAGGAAGAGTTCCTTGTTGTCTATTACAGTTTTTTTTTGCAAAACTACTTCTTCCAAAGAGAAATTCTTTTCCTTAAACTGCTGATTTGGGTTAAAACCAGGTGGTTAAGGAGGTCTTAAGCTGGTATTATCCTGATTATTCCAATTTCCTAAAGTATTATCTTGATTTTTTCTTCCACTGCTGATTTCCTATCCCTTGATTATTATTATTTCATTTAAAATTAGACAGTTAAAATTGGAATGATTCTTCCAACCGAGATTGTAAGAATTGGAACAAGGGTTATTAAACCTATTGTTAATGACATTCATGGTCTCAATAGGCAAAGCTCTTGGATCCACCAGCTGTCCATAAAAATTCTCCTCTATGACTGGTGATTTTTGTGATTGATTTAACCCTAATTGGTTTAAATTTTTAGAGGTAGCTGTCACTTGTGAAATCAAATTGAAAGAACATCAGTGTCATGTACACTAGCAATCTTCCTAGAGTTTATTTGATCATAAGACCATTGAAAGTTGTTCGATGCCATCTCCTCGATCAAAGAATATGCCTCATCGAAATGTTTCAACATAAGGGAACCACTTGTAGCTGCGTCTTTGGGCCTAAGAGACTACCAAATCATTGTAGAATGTCTGGATAATAAACCAATTTGGTAATGCGTAACAGAGACACTTCCTAAAGAGTTCCTTAAAAATTTCCCAGACTTCATAAATTGACACCATCATGCTGGAAAAAGGAGGTAATGTCATTCCTAGGTTTAGTCGCTTTTGAAGGTGGAAAATAGTTTGCTAAGAATTTCTGGCAAGGTCATTCCAAGTCCTAATAGATTCAGGAGCTAAGGAATTCAGGTATATTTCGGCTTTATCCCTCAAGGAGAAAGGAAAAAGCCTTAGCCTCAGGATGTCGTTGGACATACCATTATAGCGGCATGTGGCACAAAGTTTTAAGAAGCTCGCTAAATGAAGATTAGGGTCTTTCGAATTTGTCCTCCCAAATTGATTGTTCTACATCGTTGGTGTCTTTCTTCTTTGTTAGTATCGACCTTCTTTGACATAAGAGCTGAGTTCTCTTATTCAGCGTTACAAAACAATTCATTGTTGCACAACATAATTTTTTTCCTTGTGTTTTTTCGTCAAACTTCATAAAAAACTTCTCAAATTGATGATAGGAGTTTTCTACTGAGGATGCGACCTTAAATCTCATCTAAATCCTGATTAACGTCAGTTATGAACTCATGGACTTGATTTTTTTTCTCTCTTCTTGCGGCGAGCATAATCCTTCAAATTCTCCCAAATGTCATCATAATATTGATCATGCTCCTGCCATAACGAAACTAACTTTTTGTAATGTGCAATAACATCACAGTCATTATCTTTGCATTATAAAAATTGAGCATTCAACTAAAAAAATTGCGAAAAATTCTCCTTAGTCTAAATAGTGTTCTTGAACAGTCCCAAATATCTCGAGCAGTGAGAAGGAATGGATGAGGCTTCTCTATGATATGTACCATGGAGTTCATGAGCCATGCCATCACCAAAGAATTCTAAAACTCCCCATTTTTTCAGATTCAAATCACTACTAGTAGGTTTTAAAATTTCTATAGTTAAAAACGAATTTTGTTTATTTTGCCTATCATGAAATTTATAGATTGAGTCCACTCAATGTAGTCGTGTCCATTAAGTTTTATAACTGCTAGGTAAGGTGGAAAGGTCTGAGAAGAATATTTAGTTGATACACCCATGAGAGAAGTTGTAAGTTGAGGTGAGGTGGTTTCAAATTTACTGGAACCAGTCGATGTGGTAGATTTTCTTGAACATCCGTCATCATTGTTGATTTGTACGACATCCCTAGAATTTGAGAAGAGCAACACGTTCAGTGGCTTCCTTGAGCAAAAATAGAAACAAAGCCCTAATTCAGATACGAGCTCGACTTGTTCAGATTCAATGTCACAGGAAGACGAGAAACTCCCCGTGAAGTTGGATCTTTGAACACTGTGAGCCACTCGCCACCTTCCCAGCTTGTTCTACTTGATTGTATCGCACGATTCTTGATTGTATCACTTGGCTCAGGTCTCTTGACTTTGCAATATAGTCATTGCCTTCCAAGTGGGCTCTGATTGCATCTGTATCGCGAGGGGTTTATGAACGCTGTGATCCGGGTGTTGCCTTTCTAACAATTTCTGATTGAGTATTTATCGCGAGGGGTTTATGAACATCATGATCCAGGTGTTGCCTTCCTAGCGGGCTTTAATTGTGACTATAAGCGTAGGTCACGAAGAAAATGGTATTGAGCGAACCTACACAACAACGGATTAGGTTGTTGTTTCCAAGCCCAAGATGGTCTCTGATGCTATTTTGTTTTTAGGATGTTTTCAATTTTATAGAAAACGATTACTCGTTAAATAGAGGAAGATGCCTCTTTTATTTGGGAAACAATAATATCATCCATAGCTCCCCACAATAAAAGAAGGAAACAAGATTTCTGAAATACTAATAATAGAATATACTAACAATAGAATATACTAATAATATGAGATACTAAAATTCCAATAGGTTGTAACCGCAATTTATTAGTATTTGCACTAATTTATTGTGTGATCCACAAAATTTTTATTAAACTACTCTAATCTCATTATTGAGTCTTCTCTTGATTTAGTCAAACCCCAATTTGAATTCCAGCTAACTATGGGCTTTTTACTTGAGGCAACTTGTGGATATGCAATTTTCCATTTTTCATGTATATGAGTCTTTAGTATGAAGGGATCAATCCAAGAGCTTTGTCTTTGAGTCTAATGTATGATATGGGATTTTATCATCAAAAGGTGTCTCGCAACACTAAATTCATATTTTTTGTATGTTTTAGGCTTCTCTTCCCAAGCTAGATTTAGGATTCATCTTTTGATGAATGGGCTATGCTACATCGGTAGAATGCTTTTAATACCTTAGACTACACTCAATCATTCTCCGAAAGTTTGAGCCTTTTTTATCATGAATTGACTAAGCGCAATCACTGAAGTTACAGCCTCACATACTAAAAACTCTACATCATAATTAACAATATTGACATTCTCAAAGACTTTTCAATTTAGGTTTAAATCTCTAGATTTCACCAGAAGTGGATGAATGTAATAGGCATACTCATTTTTCTATTTTGTTGTGTCTCACACCTTGGTGCTAGGCTTGGCCTAAGCCCATAATGCTCCAAATTATGCCAATTGTTTGGTACTGTGCCTGAATGATTCCTAATGCTTGATTACATATATATTTCCATAGAAATCATCAAAATTAAAGTTATCATATATGATTCAAAATCAAAGTATTAGTGTAGCGGTTTTTTAAATATTAAGTGTAATTTAATGCCAAAATGGTGGTCCAAGGCGTGAAAAATATATATCAATTTTACATGTGACAATATGGTTAATTTGATTTGCAAAGCATTAAGCAAATTAATGGGACTGAGCTTTGTGCGCAAATGGGCGTTGGGGTTATAACTTGCATTAGATTTCATTGGATGCTTGAATGTTGTGAGTTATTTTAATCGTGTGGTGCAAGAAAGTGATGATGAGACATGGAAATTGTGATAAAACTCTTGTCGGGAAGCGGATATTTGCATTCACAATTGGTTTGGGAGAATGTAAAACTTCATATTGCACGTGGGGATTGATTAGTAATGGTTAAGGACATTCTGGTGGGAGGTTGCCATTCAATTTTGCTGTTGATGCATAAGTGGCAATGATTCAAACAAAAATACGCTATATGTGCATGTCCAATTGGCTGACCTATTGACAAGAAGAAAATTGAGCGAATTTGTGTCGAACAACAGTTATTTGGTTGCTATTATTATTATTTTTTTGATACATTAATATTTGATTCAGTTTATTTGTTTTATAAATTTTTCTTACCATCTTCAATTCATCTATCTTGTATGGAAATTTGTTATGTGTTGTTTCTGTATTCTTGAGTTTGAACCATATCAATTTGTATGAAGCAGGCATTACGGAATGATGTTATTGTTTTGCTTAGAGTTTGAGATCTAATAAAAGATTAATTGGTATTAACTTCAAGAAGTAATGGACATATCTATATGTTTTAACATCTTTTAAGTAGATTGTTATGTATTTTGTACCGAAGTTTTCATGTTTTTATTTGTATTTTGCTGAAAAATCAAACTAATAGGTAACTGGAGTAATTTGCCTAACCTCTTAATCTTTTTCTTTGTATTTGAAGCTATCTTGGCAATCGTGACCTTTGTGGGAGTCAAATTGCGTTTTATGCAGGAATGAGCTTCCATCACCGGTGGCCAATTCTCAAGCACCATCTTCAGGTAGTTTTTGTGGTTATTTTTTTGTTTTTCTCTTTCCTATTTAATTTAAATCTAGACAGTACTTAAATGTGTGCTGGAATGTCATGGTAATAAAGGGAGTTCACACCATCAGAAAAGGAGAAATGAAACACATAGGATGGAATGTTTTTTAATCTCAACTTTGAAAGGGAAAATGTTGAAACCAATCCCAATTGAAACAAATTCTCTCGCTTTAGTTCTAAATTATATAAGTATGTTCTTCCTCAAAATTGGTGTTAATGCGATGTAAATTATTTAACTATGATGATTGTAAAGGAGCTTGAAAGCATTAGTGTGGATGGTATTGCATAATGTTTTGTGACTATCTCTCTTTAATGAAAAATATTTTATGCAAATGTGTTGTTTATAGTTCGTTTTAGCGGGCAAGAGCAACCCAAATGGCCCCGCCATGTGGACTTACGGGACCCATATTTACACGTAATGAAAAAGGCAAAAAAAACGAGTTTTAAGCCCGGCCCAGCCCGACGTGCAAAATTTTACGTATTATCCCGCCTTTTTTGCGTCTTCCCTCCAGTATTTTTCGTATTATTCCCTCAGAAACTTCTATTATCATAATACAGTAGAAAAGAAGGTTTCAAAAATCGTTTTTTTTTTGGTCTTTTAGGGTTTGAGTCGCTGCATTTATGATGGAGATAGATTTCTCTCTGATAGATTTCTCTCTTAATGAAGAGTTAGAGCGCATGAATGACGAAATCAATGTCAACGCATTTGAAACGGAGGTAAGATTTCTTGCTTACCTGAATCCGTTTTCCGTTTTCCAATTTTTTCTTCGATTGTCGTGAGGTTTTTAGTTAAGTTTATATTATCTGCGGTTATATTGAAGAAATACTCAAGAACCCAAGAATAACTCGAGAAAAAGTAACCTACCAGCGCTTTCAAAAAACAGTGAAATATTATGTGAATCTTCGATTGTTGTGAGGTTGCTTTTTGATTATTCAAGGGTTTAGAGTTTACTTGTCTGCGGGTACATTGAAGAAATACTCAATAACACGAGAATAACCCAACGATAACCTAAGAATAACCCGAGAAAGTAACCTACCAGCTCTCTCAAAAAAAGTGAAATATTCTGTGAATCTTCGATTGTCGTCATGCTATTTTTTCATTATTATGTGGTTAGTTTTTATTTATCTTCGGGTACATTGAAGAAATACTCAATAACCAGAGAATAACCCAACAAGAACATAAGAATAACCTGAGAAAATAATCTATCAGCTCTCTCCAAAAAAGTGAAATATTGTGTGAATATTTGATTGTCGTGAGGTTATTTTTTCATTATTCTGTGGTTAGAGTTTATTTATTTTCGAGCTGAATAACCCGGGAATAACCTAACAATAACCTAAAAATAATCCGAGAAAAAGTAACCTACTAGCTCTTTCAAAAAACTGTGTAATAGCTATAGGGTGTGTTCTTTTTTGAATATCTGACTATCACTATGGTATAATTCAAATTTGTAGTTATTTGGGCCAGAAACAGATTGCAATGATCCAATTTCTCTTAGCTTTCTTAATACTATTGTCCGTAATGAGGAAGAGGCTTACAAACATTATTGTGCTTATGCACATTATGTTGGTTTTACTGTACGCAAGGACCACACAACTTACTGGGCTAAATCCAAGCAAATTAAGTCAAAGAATTATATTTGTAGAAAATCAGGTCATAAAAGAGAATCACAGCTAGCTACTATTGTGAAATACAGAAAAACGGATACAATGACTGACTGTCAAGAAATGGTTCGCTATGTTATTGATCTTGATTGCAACTGGACCATAAAGAAATTTGTTGAAAGTCCTAGCCACCCATTTGTGGAATCCGGTGACACGCACCTTCTACGTTTCAGCTGGAGAATTAGCGAGTTAAATGAAAATTTACTGAGATCAATGACAAATTTTGGGATTAGAGCAGCGGATGCATTTAATTTTCTTGCTACAGAGGTTGGTGGAGTTGAAAATTTGGAGTGAACGAGACAAGATGCATACAACTTCATTCAAAGGGATAAAAGAAGTAAAATTGCACAGGGTAATGCCAACTCTCTCTTACAATTATTCATGGAACGCCAAAATAAAGATAACATGTTTGCATGAGATTTCCAAAGTGATGAGGAGGGAAGAGTTACAATTTTTTTCTGGAGTGATGGGTCTTGCAAACTAGATTATGATTGTTTTGGAGATGTCATTATTTTCGACACTAGCTACCGTTTGAATAAGTATAATTTATCTTGTGCTCCTTTCGTAGGGATTAACCACTATCAGGAAAATGTTCTATTCAGAGTTGGTTTTTTATCTGACGAGACGATAAAATCCTTCAGGTGGTTATTCAAAATCTTCATTCGTATAATGGATGATAAACATCCAATTACAATGTGTACAAATCAGGATCAAGCGATGACAAGAGTCATTGCAGATTGTTTTCCATTCATAAGACATAGATTATGCCAATGACATATTTATTAAAAATTATCGTCGAAAGTTCATTGCGGTGTGACGTACAAGAGCGTTAACAATCTATTTTACAAATGCATGAGCAAGTGTGATTCGGAAGAGGAGTTCGAAGTTACTTGGGCTGGGCTCTAATGATCGAGCACGAGCAAGGAAACTTGCACAATAAGATGTGGCTATATGCATTGTACCGTATAAGACATAACTGATCAACTGTATTAAATAAAGAAATTTTTGGAATGAGAATCTGATCTACGCAAAGAAGTGAGTTCACAAATAATGCCTGTCATTGTGCATCTAAGCCCACTAGTTCCCTCACAGATTGCTTTCTGGGTCTAGAAAATATTATGTAGTCATGGAGAAGGAACGAAAAGGATGAATACTTCAAAAACTTTCAGAATGTTATTACACCGACAGTTAAAACAAGCGCAGTGTTGAGGCAAGCTGCAACGTATTATACCCGGAAGCTCTAATCTATGTTTGAGGAAGAGTTACTTCATGGGCTATGTGGATTGGCTGTCAATTTCTCCGTTGAGAGTCGATACGAATTCTATGTTAGAGGTTTGGATAATCAGGACACGAGTAGAAACTGACTTGTTACATTTGATAAACTTCATTGCGACATCACCTGCAGTTGCAAGAAATTCGAAATGACGGACCTGCTTTGCTCGCACTCTCTACGCGTCCTTAATGCTAACAATATAACAAATATTTCTGAGAAATATTTGTTATTTAGAGGGTCTGCTAAGACAAAGAAAGATATCTATAATAGTTTTGGATACAAACATATGAAAGACTCTCAGACTCAAATGTCTAACACAACTTCCAGAGGAATTCTAATTCGGTCATATGCTCAAAAGTTTGTCTTCCAATTAATTAATAAAGCTCAAGGAAATGAACGCGCCGAGACATATATAATTGAATTATTGAAAACAGGGTCTGAAGGTATTGATGATATATTAGATGGAAAGAATTCTAAACCAAATATATCAAGTGTCAATCCACTTGTCCCTCAGTTTCAGATCCGGGCCTTGTACTAGTGTAATAATTGTCATTTTGCGAACACTTGTGATATCACTTGTACTTTGTCCTGTAACTCAGTGGCTCTGGCGTCCTCATTGGTCTTGTTCTGATTATCATTTCTATTAAAAACATTTTTAGATCTTACTCATGTTCTGCACTTGTCTTGCGAGACTGCCCCTCAATACTTTCTGATTCCTCTTCAAATTTGTTAATATCTATTGGCACAATTTATTATTTAAATGTAATTTATCATGTAATATTGTATTGTACATGCATGATACCTTAAGTCGTATGAGATACCCACCGCAGATTCATCAAACAATGGCTCTGTATAAATCAATTCATATTTGATCTCGTTCTTATTTCTTCTAAAATCCAACATGCTTCTATCATTCTTTTCATCCTATAACAATGGTTTGATACCACTTTTGTTTCACCCCAATTGAGCCACTTTAAGTTTTGACTTAGGTGTGACAGAGGCAGATAATTCGACCAGATTGAATTCTCACCAACACTCGCTTTTTCTAACAGAATCAAGACCCAGTGAGCAATGAACTAATCTAATTAAATTGCCACAAATATACGTGATACATTGCATTTCATAATTCATTTATGCACATATTCGAAAGCGTGAAAAATCATATCATCAAAACATCTGAAGTATACAAACCTACCAAATTCAGTATAAATAAAATACGTTCTCAAAATACAAGTACGAACTCTCAAAATTATAAAGTTCAAAAGCTATAAACTTCAAACCTGGCTACTCGCCTACAATACTTATGGCCTCTACCTGGAAGACAACAATGAAGAATGAGCAACAACATGCTTCGAGAAATAAACATGACTATTTTATGCATGAATGTGCATGCCAATATAAATTGTATATATCTACACACAAGCTATAACAGCTAGCATAGTATAGAGCATGAAAAGAGCGCAGAAAGTATAAAAATCAAGTTGCAGTGTAAACATATATGTTATAAGCGTGAAATCATAAGTATAATAAAAAACACATTCATAAACATGTTCAAGAGCTATTTAACGTATCTAGTCATAGCAATGTCATTTTATAATAATATCACCTATAAATGTATAAGACTCAACTATTTCAATGTACTATTATCATGAGTTGTCATCCTGCCCAAAATATCATATAAACTATCGATAAAGTTGGGCTTCCCCTAACATATTAGTTATCAATAGCCCCCCTACCCACGACTCCCTCCCTAATGTTCTGTCATCGACTAATCACAACGATTTTCCAGAATTTCGTCGCCGTATAAATATCAAGTGTCGAGAATACATTCTTACATAGTGTAATAAAATTATGATAAATTAAATGATTAATTATATTCTTAAAACCTATAACTTTTGAATTTCATATTGCCCAATCCGTTAATAATTAATATGTAGTGCTGTATATGGAATTAATCTATTTTATATGTAGAATTTAATAAAATTTCTTTGATTGAATTCCTAGAGGTGCGAAATTTTGGGGTACAT